CCGACGTGGCCCTGTGAGGGGCGGCGGCCGGGCCCACCTGCCACTCGGCTGGCCTTCCCGAGACTTTTTGGAGCTCCCAGTCGCGAGGCGGGCCCAGCATAGCGGCTGCCTCCTCTTTCTTCCACTCCCCTCCTCCCTCCATTGTCCCCCATCGTGGTGGTCCCGCCCGGGCGCCCTTTTCCGCGCCCGCTGCCGCGGCCTCGCCGGCACCTCCCGGCGCAGAGTTTTGCAGACGTGGAGCTGTCACTGCCCTCCCCCTTGAGTGCCCTTTTCTTTAGCCGAGAAAAGAAAAAAGTAGCTATGAACGTATTCTAAGGGTCGAAACGTGATGAGGATATGACTTGCGGGAACTAAGTGGGGAACTCAAGTTTTCAGACATAGTCCCGGGCCACGACTTAAAGAGAAACGCCGGGTCTCTGCACTCCAGGTAGACGTTAGGCCTAAAGTTAGAGACGTAACCAGGTGAACGTGCAAACTACCCGCAATTCACGATTCCCCAGTCACAACTTAACTTGGTTTTTTGCTTACATTCGCCTCTTCATCTTGTTACATTTTCTGCCATAATTCTACAGCGTCAGTGTACTTTTGGGGAAGGAAAAGTGGGGTTTTTTTCTTTGGAAATTATTGAGGCACTGGAGCCAGCCACTTACCATTGCACCTAGTTGGGGTCTCCCGCATCTACTCCTAATATAACTAGGTTTTAAGGAAGTAGTGTAAAGGCAATGTATTTCCACCCTCAAAATCGGCTAAGGATTTCTCAGCTGAAATAAAATTCTCATGGCAGATAATGCTGAGAGTCTGCACTATGTATTCATAGATTTACTGGAGGTACAGTTACAACAGAGAAAGTAAGTTTTTTGGTTGTGAAAGAAGGAATTCTTTCATGTTCAGTGTAAGAATCAAGTCAAAAAGGATATGAAATAAAAAACGAGTGTAGAATACTTTTTTACAGTATTCTAGAGGGAATCATTTCTAAATTCTTTTTAAAAAAACACATCTGTTCCCTATTGGAAGAGATAGACAAACCAGTAGTTCCCAAAATTGTCCATTAGAATAATTAGGGGAGCTTTTTAAAGGTAGAAATTCCAGGGTCTCCTTTTCTGAGATTGATTTAGTAGGTCTGCTTTGGCCCTGAAGAATTTATTTTTAAAACATGCCTCAGGCAGCTCTCATGGTCTTGGGAACCAATGAGGCAAACAATACTGTGAAACTACTGAGGAATGCTCAAAAAACTTTGAGACAGAAGTGACCAGTTCTGTCTGGGGTTTGGCCATAGAAGGTGGCAGGACCTACCCCTGGTCCTAAGTTGGGTCTTATATGACGGGTAGGAGTGTGATGAGGATGGGGAAAGGGAAGGACAGGGCAGACAGAGAAAACCCCTTAATGCTTTGTGTAAATGCAGAAGATTGTGGGAGAAAAAGGGTTCTTGGAGCAGGGAGTGGGATGGGGAAGGAGAGCATTGTGGGACGTGAGGTCAGAAAGGTAAAAGGAGGTAACTGTATGAAAAGTTACAATGCTAAAAGACTTGAGTTTTATGTTAGCAGTAGATTAAGATTTTGAACAGGGAAGTGATATGAGTTACATGTATGTTGTAGAAAAATGGCTCTAGTGGTGAGTGAAAGGGTGGAAGAGTGGCTATTGCCGAGGTCTAGGTGAGAGGTGAAAAGGCTTGATGTTGGAGAGAGGCTGCAGCAATTAGATTTAGTTTACTAGTGCAATATTGTTGCCATATTTTTGGATGAGAATTTTTAGGACCAGACTGGGTAAAAAGGCTCTTATTCTGTAAAAAGAACCCACTAGCAAATCTGAATAATTTGCCAGGTTATATATATTGATGGTATCAGAGTATATTGTTAATTAGCACTTTTGAAAAATTAGAATCAGATTGGCTGCAGTTTGGAGGAGAACTTGGAGATTAGACTGCAATTTATGACTATCAACACTATTGCTCTAAGCTTGTTCGAAGTGTTTTTCTTTCATACTCAGAAACTTGGTATTAGAATTTTAGAGTTGGAAGAGATTGCAGAGATTATCTAGTCCACAGTGGCAAATATATTTTAGCTTATGGACCAGCAGAGTGCTTTGAAGTAGCTGCCAGAGCACTGTATTGAGAAGGATTTTGGTCATTTGTGTTCTCTGGGAAAGGGAGTTACGATTGATTAGTGATGTTTCATGTGGACATAGTTATCTAGTAGGTGATATATGTGCCAGGTATATGCCATCCTTAGACTATTCCAAACTATTAATTTTCTGTTTATTTATTAAAAAAAAATCCTAAGCAGGTTCAATAATTTACCTAGAGCTAGTTAAGAATTAGAGCTAGAATTAGAACTGAGTTTAGTTTGTTATTCTCCAGTGTGTCAAGATGAATGTGTGCTGCTCAAGAGCTTTTGGTATTAGACCAAAAGAAAAAAGATATTTCTAGCTTGTGCCTCTTAACTGTTGAGGCAAGAGTTTAACAAGGAACTTTGGCCTAGAAGTGAATTTTATTTATTCTGGCTTAAGAAATTTGTTGGTACAGGAAATAGTCACCTGCTTGTGTGTTTTTTTTTTTCCCCCCTCACCCCTCACTTCTTGTTCCTTACCCCTCTCTCAATTTTGGGTTTTGGGGATTGGTTTTCTTTATATGAGTTAAGGCAAAAGTGTATAAAGTTATTTTTTCCTGTATTTACAGCACCTTGCCGAATTCTAGGCTCATAATAAGCTCTTAGTAAAGGCATGTTGATTTTTGTGGCTGTACATGATACTGGTTTTGAGTTAACATAAATTAGTGGGTGGGGGAGTGCAGAATTGAATTGCAGCATTATCTGGTTGGTAGGTCGGCCTTCAGCTAAAAATACTGGGTTGGAAATAGCCTCACAACTAGTAGCCATTAACCAAGAGCTGTTCTCCTTCAGTCTAGCAGTGCACTGTCCTTGGAAAACTGCTGCCACCTCAGCTTTTTTTCTTTTCAGAACTGACTGTACTCTGATCCTTGAAGTGCTTTTTCTTTTCCTATCCTTAGGAGCCTCCCAAGTTGCAGGGACCATTCTTACAGTGACCCCCGTAGGTAGAGTGTGTGTTTTATGGCCATCTTCATTTTGCCATGTAGCCATCATACTCAGGCGGGCATCACCCCATACACTGTAGGAGTCATTTTTCCCCTGACTCACCTTCTTACCCTGCTTGCCCCATCAAAAATTATCTATTCCCCCCAAATTATCTATCACATGGAACTTTTATTTTTATTATTTTTTAAAAAGTAATTTCTGTGCCCATCGTGGTTCTTGAACTCATGACCCCAAGATCAAGAGTTACATGCTCTACCAACTGAGCCAGCCAGGCACCCTTAATCCCATGAAACTTAAAAAGACATTGTGCTGTCAGATTCCCAAGGTCAATGCTAATCTGATGTGTTTAACCATAGGAATAATGTGTTAATGGACCCTCCTTTCCCTCTCAGGTAACATGCATTTAACAGTGGCCTACTGGAGACAACGCCTTAACCCAAAGAAGTGACTTGAACGGTGAGAACTTCAGGTATGGTGGCAGGCCTGTGAAAGAGATTGGGGGACAGGAATGGTGCAGAGGGTGAGCTCTACTCATATAACTGCTGTGGGGAGGTATGGGGAAAGAGGATGTTGATGCTGACTACATCAGTTGGTTGAAATAGGCATTTTCCACTTGGATTTGAAACTCAGAGTCTCCTCTATAAGGATTAGCCTGTGAGCCACACTTTGCTCTTACTTTGGGTCTTCTGACTTTTCTGTTTTTGTTTTTCCTGGACATACACACATTTTTCCCATTTGTGCTGTTTTATAAATGTTTTTCTCTGTATACTTGTCCAGATATGTGCATTATGGTTAAAAAGTGTAAGAAGTAAAAAGAAGGCAACATGCAGTGGAGAAAGAGAATTTGGAAAGAAAAGGTCTGATTTGATTTTGCCATTGACAAACTGACTTTTGGCAAGTTATTTAATCTTGCCTGGTCTCAGTTTATATATCTGTAAAATACATGTATTGATTCATACCTGCCTTCCTGACATTGTTGTGAAGTTCAAATAAAATAATACATGCTAAAGCTTTAGAAAACAATGAATTCACAACTTAAGACATTATCTAGGTCTATAAGGTGGGAGATATTGGCAGTAATACTGAGAAGGAAAACATGAGGACAGGACAGATTGACTTTAAAAGATCGGGAGAGAGAAAAGGAAGACTCTACTGGATAAGGAAAAAAGTAGAGCATGAAAAAACTCAAGCAGTAAGAGAGTAAGGAGTGAATGAAGTAAAACTATTGAATTGGTAGGTGAGAAAGCTGAATAGGATAGAGAGTGGTCCCTTTCACTAATTCTAACCTTGCAATTCTTCGTTGTCATTGTCATTACTACCTTCACATAAATGTTCTAGATTCCATACTTAGATTCCTGTCTTCACTGTAAACATCAGTATTTATTATTCATACCTCTATGTGACCCTTTGTGTTTTAGTTTATATTTTTGTTAACTAATTATCTTATAAATGCTTAGAAACCAAGACTATGATTTACCTGTTATGGTGTCCTAGGCCATTGTTATAATCAAATGTGTGCTTACTCTGTTTTTTTATAATTATGGAGAGAAAGGAAGGAGATGGGGTAGCTTTGTGAGAGATAGTAGGAAAGGAAGTGGCTAAGAGGGAAAGTAGATAAATAAGACATGGTAAGAAGAATTCTCAAAAAATAATGAAAGGAAATACATGAAAATGAAGAATACATAGAGCAAATAGAGAAGGGGAAAAGGAGATGGTGTTATCTGCAGTAAAGGAACAAAGCAGCTTTCATTTCTTTAATGGTGACATAATACCTCACAAAAAGTTATGTGCTGGGAAAGATTCTTCATACCAAGTATCTTTTTTTTTTTTTTAAGATTTTATTTATGTGACAGAGAGGAAGAGAGCACAAGCAGGGGGAGTGGCAGAGGGAGAGGGAGAAGCAGGCTCCCCACTGAGCAGGGAGCCCAGTGTGGGGCTTGATGATCCCAGAACACTGGGATCATCACCTGAGCCAAAGGCAGACGCTTCACCAACTGAGCCACCCAGTTGCCCCCATACCAAGTGTCTTTAAAATAGTTCTAAAAGTATCCCCTACGTCCTGAACTCACAGAGTAGTTCTTTGTGGAAAGAAAACTAAGGCAAAATTCAGGAGACCTGGGTTCTAGCCTTGGTATTTCTTGTTACTTAGTTCTGTAATCTTGGGCAATTCACTTAAATCTCTCTGGGCCTCCGTTTCCTCACTTGTCCGTTAAGGTATCAGATGATCTCTCCGTTTTCTCACTCTTTGATTATATTTTGTGCTTTATGTTCTGTCTCACTAATTTTTCAGGGCTTTGTTGATACCACAATATAAGATTGGTCTTAGAAATATCTTATAGTAGAACTTCATAGTATCCATTACCTTATAAATGAGAAGCCATTATATTTTAAATTCTACTTTAAACATTGGTAGAAAGAGAGACTTGTAGAAAACCCAAGTATAGAAATGTTTGTAATATTCAGCAAGCACTTACTGAGCTCCTGTTGTGCTAGGTCCCAACGGGTACTTAATATAAAACCCCTGCCTCAAGGATTTTGTGTTTTTGTCAGGAAAACAAACTTGCTCACCAGTAATTATTGTAAAAAGCAAGGTGATAAGTGCTATAATAAGGATTGCATTGCATTGCAATTTAAGGTAGTAACTTTAGATTTCTTGGTTCTTTTAACATAATTGAATATGTGCTAAGTGCTGCTCTATGCTAGGTATTACAGGGACTCAGGATGAAAAAGAAAGTCCCTGCCCTCAAGAAACTTGCAGGTTTTTTTTCATGTCTGGAAACTGCTTACCCTAATAGATTTACCCTTCTGTCCCAGGAAAGAAGTTTTGTATTGTATCATCACTTCATAGTTTTAAACTAAGAATTCATTGCATATTGAGCTTGCCTCACTCCAGAAATGTTTAATAACATACTTGCTTTCTGAGAAAATCTGTATTATTTTATTGGATCTGTAATGTTTTCTCTGTCAATGACAGAAATTTTTCTTTTAGGGTAAGGAAAAAATCCAGATGCCATCTGGATGGCATGTTTAGGTGAACTTTGGTTTGCTTCTTATTCAGAGAAAGAGGGGTATCTAAAATTTAGCCTTGATTCTTTGTTCCAGGGAATCATTTCAGTTGGTCACAGAGGAGAGGATGCTAGTCTAAAGGAATCATATTGTAGGGATTAACGGTATGTACTAGAGTTAGATTGTCTGGTTTTGAATTTTGGCTCTACCGTGTACTGGGAGTATGACCTTGGTCAAGTTCCTCATCTGTAAATTGGGACTAGAAATTGCATATATCCATAGGGTTGTTGTGTGGATTAAATAAGGTAATGTATTTTTGCTTGAACAATAGTTGGCTCACAATAAGTATGAGGTGTTCATTGCTGTAATTGTTTTATTATCATTATTACCACCAACCTTGTCTTAAAATTTTTGTCTCAATTCTTTAATTCATTAAGTAAACTTATCTAGGGTGAGCATTGTAAATTTAAACGGAACATTTTAAGTAGTAAAGATCAAATTGATACTTAAGTGAACTAGGGAATTCATGTTCCTCTAATAGGGTAGCTGTTAAGCGGCTTTGGCTTACTTTTATTTATTTATTTATTTATTTTTTATTCTTAGGCTTACTTTTTTAATTGACCGTTTTAACCATTAAAAAATACCTAATTCAGTGTTGGCTCACTCTTGATCTAGTGGGGAGCATAGAACCAAGTGTGGACTGAACATCTTAACTTTTTTCTAAACAGAAGCTGGGAATCCAGATTTTGTGAGAAATCTTTATTTTTAAATGTTGGCAACTTTTGAAAATCATAATATAAACACTGTGGGCCAAGCAAATCACCACTGTGGGCAGGATTTGTCTTGTGGGTTGCCGCTTTGCAACCTCTGTTCTGGAGCTTGACTTTTTGCATCAAAGCCCATGCTCCCTGCCTTCTGGGAAGAAAGTCCTTACCCACATAAAGATTTAAAACAGTTCAGGCAATACCTCAGTCTAGGGCTGAATGAGAGGTATGCAGAATAATTATTAAGGCAGAGAGGAGGAGGAAGAAAGTTATTTAAGATGGATTTAGAATGGGCAAAGGTATGGAGGCAGGAATGGACTTGAGATGGTGGTAGTACAGCGAATAGATTAGTTGGAGTTTAGATTAGTCTGAAGAGGGTTTATATGGGCCTGGTAATAGGAGAAAGTTTGGAAAAGTTAAGAGACCAGCCTTCTTGTTTTGGGATAACCTTAAGTCCTATTGGCTGACAGGATAAAATGATGTTTTGTGGTGATTTATTAGGTAATACTGAGGTCTGCAGTATTTACTAGGGCTGGTAGGGTCTGGAGGCAGGGAGAACAGGCTAGGGAGGTAGGTGGTAGTGGGAATGGAAAGGAAGGGACAAAAGCTTGTATAAGAGACAAAAGCATATATATGGGTCACCTTGTGACAGTGGGACCCTGCAGTAGATAAAGATAGCCAATTTTGAAAGCTTTTCCCCTATTCACTCTTTTGTAAAAACTTGGGTATGTGAGAATAATACTATTATCCCTCCTTTTTTGTGTTGTAGATCTTTATCACTCTCTCCACCCCAGCACCCTCCTTAATGATGGATCATATACATAGTCTTATGATTTCCCAGGTTGCACAAATAGAATAGAAAAAAGAAGAAATTTTCAGCTGCTTATCACATTTCTAGTTTTGGGTTTTTGGTAATATCAGTTAACCTCTGATAAGTTTCATTAGACTTTATACATGGATTTTTGTATTTATCAAAGTTTGGAAATACAGTTTGCTCATGGAAAAGATGTAGAATTTTGCTGCAGAAACTTGACACAATAATTCATGATTTAGAATGTTTAAAGAAACTGATAAATGTTGTAGAAAGGTGGAATGTGTTTATTCTGTGTAACTTGAGAAAGTGATTTTTAGGATTTTATTTTCACCAGGCCTTTTGTCCTGTTTATACTGTCTCATGAAAATTTTGACATACACGGGGAAGTTATTTCTCATTCTTGGCTAAAATGCCAAATGTAGTTATTGTAAGTAGTTTTTTTGATAAGTAAGCTGAGTAGTATGTTAGGTGTAGCCGGAGTATTAAGAATAGTTGAGATGCAGCAGTATTTCCCTCAATGATGAATAAAAGTACTGAACTGAGCCTCTGAAAAGTACAAAAAGTTGCTGCTGTCAGAGAGATGCAGCAATAGGGTCAAATAGATTTGAGCTAAATCTAAACCTGTTTAATGGAGAAGGGATTTTTTTTTTTTTTTTAAAGCATGGTCTAACCTAGTTTTTGGAATTCATTTGTTCTGAATATTGAAAGGGATTTTCAGGTGGTTCATTTAATTATAGATTTGCTCTGGAAGTGGGAAGGTAAGGAACATGAGAGAGGGATTAGCTGCATTTGTTTCTGTGAAAAGTCAGTAGTGAAAAGGAAATCGCAGATTATCTTTTTCTGTTCTTGAATTTTTTGGAGGAAAGATATTTAACTACAGGTCTT